GATCTACAGTAGTAGTGGGATATAGGAGGCCTTTGATTCAAAAACATAATCAAACTTGGCCGCACTCCGGATAAATACGTTACATCGTGGATATCTTGGATAAAGTAATAAACTTGGATTCTTGATTCACTCGTGCGGTATTAGTTTATTCGTATTCACCTTTTCGATAATCTTGACTCTCATTATTAAATTAATATGAATGTTCCAACTACTTCCGGACAGAGGGTACTGTATAGTACTTTAATGAGAAGAATAGTTTCGATCCTTTATCCTTTGAAAGTGCGACACAGTAGGGTGTTTTTCTGGCAAGAATTCGGCCATGCTGTTGGATAATACACAGATCTCGCATCCCAACCATCCACTTGGTAAACCTTGGTACTTGGTAGTATCAACATTACTACCAAGTGGATGGTTGTCTGACGTTAACGATTGGATTGACTTGGCTCTAGATGAAAGACCATTCATTTTCCAATTTCCACCATGCAGTTCGCACTCCTTCTCGCTTTGACCGTGGCCGTCGCTACCTTGGCTCAAGACCAAATTGTCCCACCCCAAGTCGCTGGGGGCGTCCCGGTAGCCCAATTCGGCAAGCACCGTTATGTGGCTGGGCTCAAGGAGTCGCCCAATGGCACGACTGAATGCGGTGGCAGTCTGATCGCCCCCAATGTCGTTTTGACAGCGGCGCATTGTTTGCGTCTAACTAATGCTGTGGTTGTGGGCACACACTATTTAACCGGTTTTGCCGACGGGGAACTGGCCAATGTCACCCAGAAAATCAGACACCCCAATGGACTCATCGACGTGGGTATCCTAATCTTGGACCGCAACATCACGACCATCCAACCTGTGGCGGTGTCGTTTGAATACCTTCCGGCGGACGTGCCCACTTGGGTACGCGGCTGGGGAATCACGAGTCGTGGCTCGAAATCGCCAGTGCTCAAAGAGCTCAACGTCGTGACCTGGGACCGGGAAAGGACTTTTGATGCGGTGTTCCCCAATTTACTGTTGGATACGGAGTTCGGTGCTCGAGGGGAGAGCCGAGAAAACACTTGTAACGGAGACTCGGGGGGACCGTTGACCATCGAAGAAAACGGTACCGCGCGCTTGGTGGGGTTGGTCGTCGCGAGCGCTGGCTGTTTTCGGCTCAGCAAGCCAGGTCTCTATGAACGCTTGAGCACTTCTCGTGACTTCATTGAACCGTACTTGCCGAAGTACTGTAAGTCAAACTTGCGCTAGCCATAATGAAAGCGACATGACCAACATCCAACCTACTTGGTTGAACATACCACCGACTTGGTTGCCAAACTCGCTCGTGTTGTGTTTTACAGTTAATTTGATAAATATCCATTATGGTGCATTTGGATACTTTGAACGCTGTTAAGGGGCTCTTCCAAGTACCGTCATACTTTAAACCCAAAATGCGTTACCCAAGTAAGTTTGTCGTTATTTCATCGCACTTTCATCGTGCTTTTGTCGTATTTTCTGCTTCTACGTGATTGGCTAGTGATGGTTTTGTCGTGTTTTGGTCCATCGTGTTTTGAGGTTTTCAGCGCGCACGGATTGGACAAACCTATCCAATCACAGTGGCATATGCTTACATACTAACTAATTTTCATATAAAGACCAATGTGCTTGCTCACCAGCGAAATTTGCCGGCAGCGGTGGCGACCTGCCCTGGATCCAAGCACAAGGCCTAGGTCATACGAGTCCTAGGAACATGTAGATTGACAAGAAGCATGATAGCTATGCCTAGCTATAGCTTTGAAGTCTCCGCCATGATGTTCCGCAGCCTCTCCTCGTACATAACAGCAGTCGAGTCGTGTCGTGAGCAAGACATGGCACGGCTCGCTGTTACCACAGGTAAGCTTATCGTCATGGCTGCCGAAGCGTCCACAGCGGTACTGTGGCATGACCCCAAAGGTATCCTGCGGAAGTGGGATTGATTTCACAGTTCCTGGTGGTGC